CTCCGCGGGTCCCGCGCGGGCAGCCGCCCGGCCCGGGATTCCGCCCTCCCCCGGGATCTCCCCTTCCCTTGGGTTCCTTCTTTCCTGGTCCCTCTTCCCCCCGGCATGCCTCCTGTCCCGAGGTTCCCCTTGTCCTGGTACCCCCTTGTCCCGGGACCGGGTGTCCCGGTGCCACGTCGGTCACGCGGTGTCGGTCACACGGTGTGTGCAGGAGAAGAGGATCGCCCGCTACCCCTACCAGTGGACCCTCATGGAAAGGGACAGGCGGATCTCGGGCGTCAACAAGTACTACGTGTCCAAGGCAGGTGCTGGGGCCCGGGGGTGCCGGGCTCCCCGCTGCATCGCGGGGCTCCCTGTCACGTCACGGGCACTGTTGGACCCCGGCTGCGCTGGGAAGAGGGCTGGGGGCAGCGCGTGCGGCTTGCAGGGGTGGGTGACGCATGGCTGGGACGGCAGCGCTCCGGGGCCGTGGTGGGGAGGGTTGTGCGTATTGTGGTACTTGTTTTTCAGGGGCTGGAGAACATTGACTAGAAGAATGGTGTCTGAGGAACCCCTATATCTGCACAAAATGATTTATCTCTCTAATAAAGATATACATGTACTTTACCGGTGTATTTATATTGCCCATAATATAATATCCCCATAAGTGGGGTAACTTGCCTTGTTTTGTGCATGCTGGAGGACGATACTCTGGTCTTAGTGTCTTCCTCTGTTTCTCTGTACATGTATTGAAAAAGTAGTGCTACTGCAGAAAAAGAAAATAAGCAGAATTATTCCAGATTTCCATTATCGTGAGTAATGGCAAGAGGAGGCCTACACATCTGCACCCAAATTCCTCCCCTGGTCGGGACTATGACCGAGTGTTTCCCAATTGGCTATCACTTGTCAGGAGCCAGAAGACACGTTTTGTGTCCCTGAGCAGACACAGATGGCTCTAGTGCTTCTCTGGGGACACTGTGGCCAGGCAGTCAGAGACAGTGGCTGGAGGTCTCCAGCTGCCTGTGCTTCAGCCTGGGTTTGGCCTGTGACAAACTTGTTAAGGTGCTGGGTTTTTTGAAGGACTAACGAGAGCTTGGGAATGACTGAAACATTGGCCCCAAACAACCCTCCCCGCTGGGCTGGGAGGGAGTCATCAAGGCCCCGAACAGCAGCGTGGTCGTGGTGAGAACATGCCTGGAGGGGCCGTTGCCAGTTCACGCTCTGCCCTGGGCTGTGTCACCTCACGGAGCCCGTCCCCAAGAGCAGCTGTGTGGAACTGCTTCCCCGGCCTTTGGGACGCGGCGAAGGAGCGCCAGGAGCAGCTCCCCAGGGACCTCCATCCCAGGCAGCAGCACGAAGTTTCCCCAGCTGCAGAGCTGTTTTCCAGGTCACTGTGCAGCGCCCGCAATGCAGCCGCCCACATTCCCCTGCTTTTCAGGGGCTTTTTCTACCATCTGTTTTTAGAGCAGACCACTAAGCTGACAGTCCTCAACGTTCTCATCGTGGTGCTGACAGGAGGCGGGGGCAGCTCCCGCCAGCCCGGGCTGCAGAGCGGAGCTGACGGC